TCGTTGCTTGTAATAAGGTAGTTGAGATCCATTGAAAGGCTCTTATCAATTGGATAAATCGTCTGAGGCATGGGCAACCCTCCATTATCGTAGACCTCATTTGATACTTAGTCTGTGAAGTTCTACTGTGCTGTGCACTTGTGCTTCAATATTAAATGTTACCTAATTCATATTTTGATATACCTGGTAGTTGAAACGTACTTTTAAACCTATTATTTTCGTTATCGTGTCTTTTTTTTCAGTTACCACTGAAAGGCCTTAATCTTTTTTTTTACTTAGAGCACTTCTGGTAATTTTCGAGCATGTGGCTAATGTAAGCGGACCAGAGGTTTGAAGGATATAACTCTTTTTTTACTTATTAAACATCAATCAAGGGTCGTCATTTTGACACAAAGCTAACGAAAAAAATATTGCCGTTATTATAAATTCGCTCGCGCTTAAATGACAGTGCCTGAAATTGAACCTGATTGGTTTATCAAATCTCGCGCGCGCTTGAATCTCTTTTGTTGTGTCACAATGGGGAACACTCCATTCGCATGAAAATACTGTCCAGAGAGACTTATATTTCAAAGCGCGTAAACTTTGTTCAGATATAACCCAGCAAAAGCTAAACATGGGTTCTGCTTTAAGTTCATACAAATCCAAGAGAAGAGATAAGAAAGAATATAAGAGGTGAGTAAACATTTCTCTTCCGCTTGGAGGAAAATATTCAGATGCTCTTGCAACTCGATTTTGTTTTCCAGGTGACATTGATCACATCGTCTATCTTGTTCAAATTTGTATACTTTTTTCCCGTCGAGTAGGAAACTAAGAGAGCAACTGAAAGAAGCACAAGAACACATAGCTCGTCTCCATGAACAACTTCAGTGTGAAAATGAGTAAGTTCATTAGTGTAATGTTTGCTGTGGTGGCTGATTCTTTCTCGATTAAACTTCTTTTCCTTGACTTTCTCCTTTTTATACTTAATCGTAAAATCCGAGTAAAAAGTCCATATGCACTAGTTATGTAAATGTCTTTAGCTAGGAGGGCTTCATCTGGGTTATTCCGACAAATAGAGAGGGACTCAGTATTCGGGTGGTTACCCAGTATCTCTAGCTCTTGTTAGACGTAGAGAAGGTGAATAATTTGCTCTATCTAAGACCTTTTCGTAGCTTTTTCTTTTCTTCAAAGTTTTATATTGTAAACCTAAAATTAGTACTTGTTAGTGCAATTGACCGTTATTGTTCATTACTTGTTCGTTCTCTTTTGACATTTTATGTAGATTACTTGAGGCCTTTCAAAGGTCACGCATCGCCCCTAACATAGGGCTTGCAACACAGAAATATCGAGCAGCCACTGAAATGATGAAAGAAATTGAAGCTTTGGAGCGAAAGCTTTTCTTTGAGCAAGTTGCTCTGAATGTTACAGAAAATAGATGTGATTTTCTGGATGACAACTACCGGTAATTGAATTGCTGTTTAATAACCGTACACTATGGCGTTATTAAAAAGTTAAATACAGAAGTTTCAGTTCTTCACACACACACAAAAAATGTGAGTTCTCAAATAATCAGAAGACTCTATAATAGTACTCTGTCGGTGTATAGAGAGTTTGGAGATCGGCAAGTATGGAGGGGAGGGGGGAGAACGAAACCTGGTGCTCTCAAATGAGGCAAATCAGAAAAAAATCATTTCAAGCTGTAAATATGTTTTATCTCTTTTTACAGTCTTCTTCACGACAACGAGACAAGCCTTTACTGGCAGAAGTCATCCTGTCAAACAAACCTGGAGGCCTTGAAAAAGAAACAAGAGGCCATTCAGTTCAGTCGATTCAAAGACGAAAATCCGCTGGAACAGTGGGTCGTCTGCTCGCTTCCAAATCTTTACTTCGGAAGAGTTGAAGCCCTATCATCATGGCATTAGTGTTCTCTTAGTTAAAAAAAAATGAAAATGAAAACAGTGTAGTGCCCTTCTTTTCGTAGATATTCTGATTGAAAACGTTTCTACTATGCCGTAGCTGAATCTTCTAGACATATGATGCGATGGCACTTTTTATTGAATTATCTAATAGAAATTTAATAAACTTATGGTGATTTTTTGTTCGAAGTGATGTAGTAGTTATCTGGCCCTATTGAGAGTGAATTAAAAGGCCTAGCCTCAGATGAATTTGACCACTCAAACCCAAGGCCATCAATTGCAACACAATGGTAATTTATTATAATTGCATGATTCTTTCCAGTCAGTCAAGGTTCGTGGTTTTACTTTCAATAGAAACATAATAGCGATTTCCACCATTTAGTCATGAACTCTGCGGAAGATTTTAGAGTTAAAGCACTTTTCTTGAAGTGTTTTAATTCCGTCTAGGACGGAAATAGGAGAAGGAGGTAAATAATTTCAGACCGGAAGTGGGAAAATGATACACTTGACACGCCGTGTATGTGAGTTGTTAAGGCCGCCATTGTTACCAGTGTAAGGTTCACCTTCCGCGCCTATCAATTTCCTGTGAACTTTATGCCTTTTACAAAAATCATCAAACAGGTGTCTTGAGAAAGAGTCAATGACTAAGAGTAAGAAGCTTTGATATACTCGATACAGCGTTTTCACAAACAGACTGATGTGTTTTCCTTTGCGTTCCCCTGGAAGCGAGATTTTCCTTGTCAGTTCGCATCACGAACACCATAACTATACTGTAAAAGAAAACTTGAAATAACCAGAAGCACGTCCCTCATGAAGTTTCTTCTATTCAGTCACTTTGAACGTAGCACAAACGCAGGTTTCATCTCATGTGCAGTTGTTCGCTTGAGTCTTAAAACAATGGATAACTGAAAGGAAAAGCTCACTGCTTTCATTTTTCATTTTTAAAGAGCACGGTGCAATCTGATTGGTTCTTTACCCGGTAAGTATTTTCCTATCTCTGCCCACGGGCCACGGTTACGCTTTTCGAGATTCGCCGAGTACATCCCAAATTTCGTTGCCATTTCTCATAAACATCTCGTTTTTTCGGCTGGGCAGTATTTTTAACAAAACACGTCGGTTACTACCTCAATAAAATAACTTATAAATCCTCTCTTTTCTCTCTCTCAAATCACTTTGGTTGACAGAAAAATATTGGTTTCAAAATGAATTTGTTTAGGCGATGGAACTTTTATTCATTTAATATCTGAATTTTCTCAAACAATTTTTTCGTAGTGAAAGAGCGAGCGAAGTTTTAAATTCAGTTCTACAACAAATATACGCCCTCGGTGAGTCTTTCCGAGTCCGTTCAATTTGGACATTTGTACCATAAATTACACAACAGAAACTGAAGGGATTTATTGGGAAAAGGCCCCAATAAATCCCCTTGTGTCTCGTTGGAGTGGACCATTCGAATTTAGTTTTTGTGGAGGAAACACCAGATTTACACACGCCATTGCAGCAAACAAACGAGCAAACTCTCACAACTTCCAAATAAAAAATTTGATTTACTCACAATTACTTTCCTCGCCGTTTACTTAATGAACAGAGGTAAATCTTCGTACATGAATGAATCGTCGATGAGAGTGAATAATACCTTCCGTTAGATCATTGAATGTTTTTGAAGAATACATTGTCGTGACAGTCCTTGCCAAACTAGTTCCGTTGTTTTTCAAATGTTCTCGCGCTTTTTTTTTCTTACGCGCTCTCTAATTGATAGGTGTCAGATTGTGACAGATACTTGTAAAAATAATGTTTCAAAGTTTGTTTGGAAGCCTTTTAGATCACCTTTATCCTTACGCAAATGAAATTGTTTCGGTGAGGCATCTTTCTTTAATTTGCATCACCTCTATTTTAATTACCATTTGCTCGCTCAAAAATTGTTCAGTTTATGGAAGATCTTGCCGTATTTACAGCCCTAGACCATTCGGGTTCTTTCGGAAAGAATCTCGTCAAGTCTTAAAAAAATAAATATGTTATTTACCGGCTAAGTCTCGGTCCGTATGGTAAAAAACTGTGACCTCGGTCTTGAAAATGCTGCGGCTTGGTATTGTATTGATATTTTTAGGATAAAAATAAAATCTGTCTTGGTCACTCACCACACCCCACTGGGTTGCATCAACAGGTGTATTAAGATACACAAAGTATGTAATCATTCTAAATTGTAGGAAACTCAAATTTTTAAGGTTGCAATGAAAAAATACAACTGCACTGTGAGAGTAATCAACCAAAAGCCCAAAATAATGTTCAGGGAAGTTCCATAGAATAGAGTCTTCAAACTGATATCATCCCTATTCTTGAGCCTCACGGATGAGTCAGACTTTTCTTTGCAAAGTTTTTTTTTCATTTGTTTTACACTTGTTTACTGAGTCTAGTTTATGAGGTTGGATGCAGGGCAACAAATATATTTTTTTTCATTTTCTTTTCAAAAACATACATGTCTATTATCAAGTCCCATTTATTTCTAACAACACAGAATGTTATCAGACATTTCTAATATCTTCTTCCTTTTCTGCAACTGAGTCTCCATTTCAAGGTTTTCAAGGCATTGTGTGAAGCCTCGGTCAAAATTTTGTGGCACTTTTGTCAATATTAGTCTAATATTGACCAATGATTGACAGTTACTGCAGGTTTGCAAACACTTGCTCACCTATTCACCATGCCAGTGATGAGTACATCAGAGTCCAGCGGGCCCTATCTATCTGACATACCCTAGCTAAGAATGAAGAAAATCACTGTTAAACAATTATGTAATGAAATCGATTTATTTGCAAAATAAGCTGGGTGTTTTTGTTTTATTTTTCACGTTGGTTGGGTTGATAAGCATTGAGAGTCTCAACTTCTTGCCAAGATCAGCTTATAGCTGAATAAATATAGCATAATGTACAAATGTATGTGTAACAGTTTGAAATGAGATAATTCAAGGTAAGCATTATGTTACAAGGACCTCAGTCCTTCCTCTCTTGGTATTCAAGTTCGTTTAGTGCAAACCCTAACTTCATGCACTGGAATAAGCTGCATTTAAATGTAATGATATCATAGATTGACAACAGAGGAAACATAACATACCCTGACTTTTGAACAAATGCCTCATCTTGTGCACAATGTTTGTTGACATTGAGACATCCTTGCAAGAAACGACCCTTGGTAAGGAAAGACATTTCTATAGTAACAATGGGATTAAAAGCTTGAGGTTTCCAAGGCATGATATGCATAGTTGATCAGCTATCATGTAAAACAAACAAGAGTTGTTTCACTTTGTTTACAACTGCACACCAATAGGCCACTCACTTTATCCCTTTAAATCCCAATATCAACATGTATATTCTCATCACTGTTCTCCATATGTTTCTTATTTAACTGATTGAGAGAATTTGTTCAAAAATCCAGACATTTCATCTTTGGTGATCATTTCATTTATTCTCATAAACTGTGCATTTGATCAGGCAGTAATATTGTTAGGAGAAATTAGATGCCACTGTTGGGACTTAAAGGGTTATTCACTAAGGTGTGCAGACATGTACATCTATTATGGAATAGTTAGCTGCTAACAAAGCCAATTATATTTAAGCATTTGTGAAAGAATGCTGGTAAAAATTAATCATCATTATTAATAGTAACTCTTCCATTAAAAAATCTCTCTCTCTTACAGCTTTAATTCCAGCTTCAAGAACTTCGGCTGGTAAGTATTCTTGATATTCCTTTGTGGATGCTTCACTCACTACAATAAGTATAAAGTTAAAATGGAATTTTTTAAAAATTATTTCAAAAAATCAACTAACAACAACAACAAACATCTCAATGTTTCTTTAAAACATATCATTTTCTTTTGTTTTTCAACTGAAATTCTTGACAAGGGAAATTTAGTTGTCAACACTAATAACCAAAGTGCAGAACCCATTTCATCATAAGAGTTGGCACAGAAAATTTCTCCACTCCCAAGATTTTGTTCCCAGCCACCTTCCTCCCTTGGTGTTGTAATACAATTTTGTTCACTCCAACCTTCACTTGATCTTATCAATCTGAAACTAATATCATGGCTTCAAAATTCATTTGCCTCAGCCTGAAATCATTCCAGTTGTGCAAGCTACTCCCAAAAATAAGGAGAGGGTGCTTGAGGCTGATCAATATAATTTTCATCAAATTTAGGGTACACTCAGTCTTACCTGATTCATTTGCTTCATTATTTACAGCAGCCAGAGAATAATACAACTCCAGAATTGATTGACAAGTGGGATAGAAATCAGTAAGGTAGTCCTCAGTTCTCATGATAAACACTCCTGCAGACTTGTTTCCATACTTTTCCACAATCTGCCAACATACAATATAGGAAAATGTTCCCAAAAAACATACACACTTTAAACTAACTGTATTTAAATATAGATTGTATCCAATCTGTTTACCTAGATTATAGATTCAATTTGTTGGCTTTAAAAGAGTGCCTAGCATCTAGTTTCTCCATACAATATCACCCCTGAATCAAACATTAAGGTACAAGTTAGGATAAAGGAAAATAATGATCAACAACAAAAGAATCTCTTGATTGTGTAACAAATTCACCTTGTCAGCACCTTGGGTAATGTACAGAGAACAGTATGGAGAATATGGATCCTGGTGATAGGGTATGAAGGGTTCCTCATAAAAGTCACTCAGGGGGAAGCCCCAATCATATTACGTAGTGTTGTTACATTTTTCTTTCAAATCACTGACCATGTTTGCACCTTAAGGTACAAATTTCAGAGGTGATTAAGCCTAATTACAGTATCTAACAAAGATGCCACTCCTAAATCAACTTCTATATTGTATATTGAGGATTTAAAATCAATATACAGATAAAACTTAAAAGTTGCTGAGAAAACAAAATGTTGGTGTTGTACTACATTATACACAAAGGAGATGGAGCTGTACATGTGTGGTGTATATGTTACCTGCTGGTCTTCTGTTAAGATCACAAGGGGCATAGCTTGGTTTAAATGATTATAATACCAAACAGCACCAGTGTAAATGCACCTTCAAAGAAAAAGGAACCTCTCTTGAGTGTGGAGATGAAAAAAAATAACAAAACAGTAGTCAAAGCTTTCTAGAAAACTTTACACATCAAATGAATATGAAAAAATATCTAAAAAACAATGTTGTGGTTTAAATTGTTTTGTTCTGCATTTTTTTTCTTGTATAAGTTGTAAACTTATACAAGTAAACTTGTATAAGTTCTGACTGCAAAAATTATTGCTGTGCCTTCAAAGCTCATAAAGTCACTCTGCTGTCAAAACTGACAAGTTTTTTTTGGACAAAATTTCTAATAATTGACCATACTTCTCAGCTTAAGTGAAAAAAATAATTAAATGGTCACAAATTTTAAATCAGTCTATGTCCTCAACATAGCTTCACCTCCACTGCCACTCTTCCAAAGACTCCCTGGGTTCCCTGGCAACATAAGCCCCATCACAGAACTCATTACTGAATATGATGCTCTGCTGCCTGTTATCGTTCACAATATCTTTTAGTTGAGATTGAAGTTTTCTCCCTCCTTGATGCTGGACCTATGAAAACATTTACAGAAGTGCTTCATGTACAAGTGCATTCATTGACTTATATGCTAAAGGAATATCCACTCATAACTAAAAGTAAATGTGTTCTTGGCCTTTTTAGCTCAGTGCTATAAAGTTAGAAAACTGAAAGTGAAATTTACTTGTGATAAGACAATAAAATAGGTTGACAAGAAAGCATATTATCAAACGTTGTACTTGCTTATTCTTATGTGTGATGTTTTATTACACCTTTAAGCATTGATTCTGAAAATGAAACATTTATAACATAGCGCATGTGCTTGCCCTATATAAGTCCTATTAAGCTGCATTGAACAAATCTTTATTTATGCATGCCTGTGTGTAAATAAGATGACATGAGCATTTTTTTAAACTGGCTTCAGAGTTTCTGTCTTGTTAAGCTGCAGTGCAGTTTTCCTTCTCTTTGCAATATGGAAGAAACCAGCAAAGAACTGCCCAATTTTTCTATTGGCATTGACCTTTTAGGTCCTGATCCAACAAGCAAAAAAAATAAAGCAGGAAAAAAACTTGCAAGTTGCATGTTTTGCAAATTTGTGGGAAGACCAGCTGCAGCAAATTTTGGCTGTAAACTGGATCAAATGTTCTTGCTCAAACCAAAGTATAAAATGTGGTGTATTTTTGACCAGCCAATAGGGACGTTTGTTTACTTTTTTTGTGCGTTGTGAGAATTTTGCATTCTATCACAATAAAAGACTTCTTCATGCAGATCCTTGTTTTTGCTCTGTTATAAAAGAATTTGTTCATGCTTTTAGCTGTGCGTATATTGAGTTATGGATGTACTTGGGAAGTTTAGAGAGCACTCAAAAAGCTAGAGTTGCTCTCAGCTGTGCCTCAAGCTACTCTTGTGCATTTTTGGTGCTCTCCAAACTCTCCTTATGCATCTGTAACTCAATATATGCATGCTAAGCATGAAAAAATTCTTAAATATCTGCTATAAAATATCCATCTACATTCTGCAAAATGCACAAAAAAGGTGTTAGGTTCTTACATGATTAACCACTGTTTCAAAGAAAATTACTCCTTGAATTTCTTCACTCTCAAATATTTCAAGAAACAGCCTTGAAACCTGAAATAAAACACCAAAGAATCAGCTCAAGGAAATTAACCCTATCATTTGGCTTAATTGTGTGTCTTAATTGTGTGTTGTTCTTGTCCTGACACAACTAATTATTTTTCATTTTTTTTTAATTCAAAACTTGAATGCCTTCTCTGTCCAACCATCACATCAGTGCCTGTAATTACCAATTAGTAAATACTTGCAAACTAAAATCCCTGAGGATGTAAGGATATCAATTTGAACTCCAAATCAAACCTCGTCAAATGCTCAGTACCTTTCTGCGGAGCATGGCCATTTGCAAAGCATTTGTGATTTTTTCTTTCTTACCATCCATACCATCACACCGTAAAATCGCCTTTGATGGATGGTCCTCAGGACAAATTTTAGCCTCAAGAAAAACATCGGTTCGGAAAGTTCATGTGATATGTCAGGGCATAATACCAAGACCACCACCAGCAATTTTCGAGTCGATGTCCAAAACAAGCTGGCTACAGGTTTGAAAGGTGTAACTCCATACTACAGTCGACTACAAACTGTTACAAAGCCTTGCTTTCAAATGCAATCTATTGCTTTCGCCATTATTTTTTTTTGTCAAAGAACTGTTCGCACAATAAAGTATGGTGTTATACGGAAATATTGCTGAAAGGTTTACTCTGCACAAGTCTAACAACGCTTAGGCCAAGATCGGTCAAAGTGCGGTAAACAAACTCAACTTACCTGGCAATCAGGAACAACGTAATGAGTCAGTGATTTACAAAGCAAAGTTCCGTTGCCTAAATAACGAATTAAATTAAAGTGTGTGATACTGAACTATATTATGCTGTAACTAAGATAACAACTTCAAAAGATTGACTGTAGCTTACTCTGCTTGCAAACGCTTACTTACCTTGTTCGCAAACTGCACAAACTTCACTGTGGCAAGGAACATCTTTCCGCAAATAGTGTTCCCGCACAACATCAAGAAGTCGGCCTGTTTTCGTTTTTAACCTTAGCAGCTTATTAGTTTTGATCATATTTCGGCGTTCATGGATATGAAACAACGGCCATTTTTAAAGTGAAACTACAACTTAAACGGGAGTTACTACATCACGGGCGACGAGCGGGGATAGAAAAAACGACCCAAATATGAGCGGTCAGCGGTGAAACAACTTTCATACTTCATATATAGACAGATCATTTGTAGTATCAGGAAACAATCGTGTCGTAAAGCCGAAGTGTAAACAGTTTACTTCGCTAAATAAAATGTTAAGCAATTCAAAAGTGTTGATTGTACATATATCTTTTACTGCTTTAATAAACAATGAAGGCATCGGTGACATCCGAAAGGTACCAAGAAGAATTAAATGTACGTTTTGTAGTTGCAGAAAACAACCGTGTTGTAAAGCCGAAATGTTACCAAGTAACACTTCGCTACTTAAAAAGTTAAGCAATTTTCCTCAAGCTTTAACTGGAACAATACTTTTAATGCTCTATTAACCAACGGAGGCATCGGGAAAGGCATTGGTGACACCGGGAAAGGCATCAAGAAGAATGATATTCACGTTATGTAACTTGTTGTGTGACGAAAAAAACGTATCTTGACTTGTTCAAAGCATTGAATCACAGTTGGCTTCCTTTTCACTTGAATTTTGTATCCACAGCCTAAGATGAGAAATTTAAAATTTCTATCAGCTGAAGTTCTTTTACTGCATATTATATCTATTCAATCGCCCCCAATTCACGTGGAAAAAAGGCAAGTAGGAAAACACTGAGCTTCGAGAAACAGCCATGTTAAGGCTAATGTATTTACCATTCCTTAAATATTTACAATCAAGACCACTCTTAGGAGACCTTTTCTCAAAAGATCCACACGTGTAAATAATGCTGTTTTCCGTTCGAAATGTTTTTCTTCCTATTCAATTGAACAACTGACTTAGCGTTTAAGCCGAGAAAAAAATCACAAAGTTTGAATTCTGGGATGTTGTCCACTTTTGGCTCCATTAAGTTACGATTCTGCACCATTGACGCTCGTGAAAATCTATCTTAATTGACTATCAAGGACTGTATTTCTTATCTTGCAAATTAAGGTCTGTACATGACATTAAGTTCATCATCTGGTTCGTTGTTATAGTCAGCTTTAAAATTTAAACTCTACTTGTGCTGACAAGAAGCCACCCTAAGGGCAGGTGAAATGTTGCATAAGCGTCTCCGCGAAAGGCACATCCAGACAACTTGCATGGAAAAACTGGCCGCAGCTATCGCACCCAAGCCAATCCTCTCCATCGTCGTCTTTGCAAATCTTACAGACCGTGGTATTTCTCTTATAATTGAACAAAAGATATGGGACGTCAAAGAGAGTGTTGCGGCGTTTAAGAAACAATGGTATTTGACACCATCAAAACTTACCAATCAAGGTCATCATAACACGAGCCAAATATGACAGACGTTATTCTTTCCCTTTCCATGTCCACATCGTAACTTCCATTGATATCCAACCCCTCACACAAACACCGAGCAAACTTAAAACAAACAAAGAGAAATTTAATACATTCGAAACCAGGAAGCAGTCCTATTAAAGTGAGCTTTAGCAAGTGATTATGCTACTCACAAGACATACAATCACACCACAGTTATAGCTATCGGTCTGTGTGTAATGTAGTGGTTCAACACATAGCCATGACTTGCAATTCCATCCCGTTTTGAGATCAGCAACGGCACTGCAGAGTCAAACAAAATACAGCAATTACATAAGTATGTTTTGTCTGCATGCATCAAAATAAAAAGGAAAACATTGAGTTGAAAATATTTCACCTGATGTCATCGATCAGTTCTATCAGTTTGCTCTTAGGAACTGAGGTGCTCAAAATGGTGTGTACACGCCCATTCATGGTATCGAAATAATATCTGGTTTTCTACTTTCGATCCAGAACCTTTAAAACATAAGCAAGAGAGCGCTTAAAGATTTATTTATAATGCAAAGTCCAGTTAAAAAGGTTCTTGATTTAAGTGCGTTATTCAAAAAGATTATTATCGTAAGGTCCTAACCAGAAGTGTCCAGTGATTTCCAGACTTGTTCATGGGTATAAGTATTTTAGAAATCTGGGTAAAGTTCTCTCCTGACCAAAGCAAGCGAGTGCTGGAATGTCGCTTTACCATTTCAGCCATAGTTGTGTCTGCTACAAAAATATCTCTGTGGATTAAGGTCAGGCGCCACAGAACTGCTTCGATAACCTTTGAAAAAATGAAAAAGGAGAGCATTTCATGGAGGAAAGTTGTATGAAGAGAAGCCATCAAAAAGAAAACCTTCCGAGGAATAGCCGATCCACGCGGCAGCCAAGGAAGAGGAAACATGAAGACACCATCAGCGCTATCCAGTTCAAGAAGCAAAAAACTGAAACCTCCATTTTAAAACTGGAGAGACACTTACAACAAAAGACTTGCCCTGATTCGCTTCAATACAAACAAACAAAAAACAAACCAAAAAAACTACAGGCAAAATATTGCCTTTTGTGACAGCATACCACCCAGGAGTTAAAAATTTAAAACAAATACTGATGCAAGAATGGAACCTCATCCAAAATCAGCCACTGCTGAAAACAATTTACAAAACGCCTCCGATTATATCATACAAAAGAGGTAAATCGCTCAAAGACATACTCGTCAGAGCGAAGCTTTAATTAAAGGCTTTTGCGTCGCAAACGTAAAACCACACAGGGGAGTCTGTGTAGGCCTGTCTATGACCCTTTCAATCAATGAAATATAAATAGGTAGTTCAGACGCAGCTTCTCGCAAATCGTGTAAGACTGCCTTTGGAGAAATTTACCATAAACTCTGAAAGACGGCGATTCTTCTCAATTAAATTATCCCTGAATTAGGAGAGTCAGGATAGGAAACCGGGATCTGTGCACTTTAAAACACTGAGAGATTATATACCTGTTTGAGAAAATCTGTTGTGGTTTTTCTCTTTTGAATGGCTTTCTGTAAGTACATAACACGTGGAGTTCAATGCCTGAAATGAAACTAACAGATCATCCATCTCTGCTCTGTTTCCCTCGAAATATCCAAAACAATAATTGCCTTCAACAGAAAAGCCATTGAGATGTTCTTTCAAAAAGTCGATCTCTAAATCTCTTAACATTGTTGGCTTTTGGTCTTCATCCATGGCAAGTTCCTGCCAAATTTGATTGACATTTTTGACAACCAGAAATCATGATACTTTTTTTTCGTCACGCACGTCACGCAGCTAGCTACAAACCATATATATAATTATTCTTGGTGCCTTTCCAAATGCCACTGACTCCCTTTCCGAAGCCTCCATTGTTTATTAAAGCAGTAAAAGATATGAGTTCAATCAACACTTTTGAAAAATTGCTTAAACTGTGAAGTAAACTGTTAACATTTCGGCTTTACAACACGATTGTCTCTGGAACAACAAATTATATGTCTCTATATGAAGTATAAAAGCTGTTTCACCGCTGACCGCTCATATTTGGGTCGTTTTTTCTATCCCCGCTCGTCGCCCGTGATGTAGTAACTCCCAACTTAAACCCGGCGCCATTTTGTTGATTACATATCCCAACAGCACTTGCTAGTTAAACTTTTGATTAGTATCCAGTTACCTCGATACCTCGGTCGCAAACAAATACTAAATGCGCATTGGTCAGTTGAATTGTGGTTACATCTTCTATTTCCTTGCTGTAATATAAGTTCGCATTTTGTTGGAACTGACAGGTTCCGATGAAAATACGTTTGAAAAGTCGTTGCTTGTAATAAGGTAGTTGAGATCCATCAAAAGCTCTTAACAAGTGGATAAATCGTCTGAGGCACGGGCAGCCCTCCATTACCGTAGATCTCACTTGATACTTTGTCTGTGAAGCAGCGTTTGCTCAACTGTGCTGTGCACTTGTGCTTCAATATCAAATTTTACCTAATTCATATTTTGGTATACCTGGTAGTTAAAACGTACTTTTAAACCTATTATTTCGTTATTGTGTTTTTTTTCAGTTACCACTGAAAGGCCCTAATCCTTTTTTACTTTGACCACTTCTGGTAATTTTCGAGCTTGTCGCCAAAGTAAGCGGACCAGAGGTTAGAAAGATATAACTATTTTTTACTTATTAAATATCAATCAAGGGTCGTCATTTCGACACAAAGCTAACGAAAATTATTGCCGTTATTATAAATGCGCTCGCGCTGGTCTCTCGCGCTTAAATGACAGAGCCTCAAATTGAATCTGATTGGTTTATCAAATCGCACGCGCTTGACTCTCTTTTGTTATGTCACAATGTGGAAAAATCCATTCGCATGAAAATACTGTCCAGAGAGACTTATATTTCAAAGCGCGTAAACTTTGTTCAGATATTATCCAGCAAAAGCTAAAAATGGGTTCTGCTTTAAGTTCATACAAATCCAAGAGAAGAGATAAGAAAGAATATAAGAGGTGAGTAAACATTTTTCTTCCGCTTGGAGGAAAATATTCAGATGCTGTTGCGACTCGATTTTGTTTTCCATGGTGCCATTGATCACATCGTCTATCTTGTTCAAATTTGTATATTTTTTTCCGTCGAGTAGGAAACTGAGAGAGCAACTGAAAGAAGCACAAGAACACATAGCTCGTCTCCAGGAACAACTTCAGTGTGAAAATGAGTAAGTTCATTCGAGTAATGTTTGGTGGGGTGGCTGATTCTTTCTTGATTAAACTTCTTTTCTTTCACTTTCTCTTTTCTATACCTAATCATAAAAACCGAGTAAAAAGTCCATATGCACTAGTTATGTAAGTCTCTTTAGCTAGGAGGGCTTCATCTGGGTTATTCCGAGAAAAAGTGAGGGACTAAATATTTGGGTGGTTGCCCAGTACTTCTAGCTCTTGTTAGACGCAAAAAAGGTGAATAATTGTTCTATCTAAGACCTTTTCTTAGCTTTTCTTTTCTTCAAAGTTTTATATTGTAAAGCTAGAATTAGTACTTGCTGGTGCAATTCACCGTTATTGTTCATTACTTGTGTGGGCTAATTATTCTTCTTCGTTCTCTTTTGACATTTTATGTAGATTACTTGAGGCCTTTCAAAGGTCACGCATCGCCCC